CCTGCCTGCCTGCCTGCCTGCCTGCCTGCCTGCCTGCCTGCCTGCCTGCCTGCCTGCCTGCCTGCCTGCCTGCCTGCCTGCCTGCCTGCCTGCCTGCCTGCCTGCCTGCCTGCCTGCCTGCCTGCCTGCCTGCCTGCCTGCCTGCCTGCCTGCCTGCCTGCCTGCCTGCCTGCCTGCCTGCCTGCCTGCCTGCCTGCCTGCCTGCCTGCCTGCCTGCCTGCCTGCCTGCCTGCCTGCCTGCCTGCCTGCCTGCCTGCCTGCCTGCCTGCCTGCCTGCCTGCCTGCCTGCCTGCCTGCCTGCCTGCCTGCAGCTTTCCACCCTGCTTTGAGCAGGGCTGAATCAGTTACCTTTGAAAAAAAGAAATTCACTCTTGTTACTTGTTACCATGTTTGATGTGGCTTAAGTAAACATGTCTGTGTTTATTGTTTGAAAAAGCTAGCTTGGTGCACTCTTCATGCTCCTGCTACTTAGTTTTTCATTACTTCCCATTGCTTTTTAAAAATGTTGATGAGAAAGTGGCGAGGGACCGGAAACATCCAGGTTAGAATTGTGTTTATTTGCAGCCAGCTACAGTTGCAAAGAAAAAATATATATATTTACCACATTAAAAACATGTTGCAAGCAAGCAGCCGCCCTGCTGGCTCCTTCTTAATGTGTACTTTGCTTCTTTTCTTAAGTATCAAAAAAATCTTGAACAAGCGTTTGCTTTCTAAAGTTTTGTCACTCCCAAGTTTTACAGCAGCAACTAAACCAACAGAGCAAATCAGGGTTTCGAGGGAAAGGCTCAGAGGAGATTTCATCCAAAGGAGTCCGCCAGAAAACTGAACTCTGAGCAAAACTCTTTCAGCCGCTTGACCGCTTTCTGTCTCTCTCTCTCTCTCTTTTGGCCTGCGTGTTGCCCTGTTTACGGCTGTTCTCCGACTTGGTCTTTAAAAGGGTGGCCTCCAGGAGGGGGCCATTAGCAGGCCCGGTTTATGAGGGCTGTAAGTCAGTGGGGGCAGGAGATCAGCCCGGCTGACAATTAGAGGCCCCTCCAGACCTGAAGTCAGAGAGAGGCAGCTGGAAAAGGCTGGAGGCCGATGAAAAAACAGCCCGGGAGGCTTTGAGGGCCGATGATAGCCTTCAGCTTCAGCAATCGTAGGCAGTAAAGATTAAACGAGGAACGGGGGACCGACACCCATGTAGGAACGCAACTTGAGAAACTTCCAGGGGGTGATTTTTATGGTCAAAGGGCCATTTCCTCCAGAACAGCAGCACAGCTGGGCTGGGTGGCCCGAGGCCTCCTTGGCTGCCCCACGGAGGTGGCCTCTGCCCTCCCATTTCTTGGGCCCAGATTTCCTGGTGCCCCAAACCCCTCTGAACGGAGACATGAAGATCTAGGGCCTGTTGAGCACCGACAGTCTTTGCCCCCC